GTAATGACTCAGGCTTATTTCAAAGCTGTTCTTCTTCTATTCGTATATGTGCCTGTGAAAAACGGAGAGATACTACCATTTTCCTACTCATCCACTGCTTTTTTGTTTTTCTCTTATGGACTTTTTAATTTATCATCTTACTATTTTTTAAAGAAAAGGTAAGCATCTGGGGTGTTCACCACATGCTGTACAAATGCTGAATAAAGGATTTTTGCTTCCAATTTTCTGATGACTGGTTGTTCATTTTTAATATTACGTTTACAATTTGTTGTTATGTATATATTTTTTTCTCTTATCCTCAAGCGAGGTTTTTATTTCCATAATAATAATACATTTGTACATTAATAACTCAACAATTGAGTGAAACATAACGTAGGCTAAAGATTAAAGTACATTCAACAATTCTTCCAGCTTAGTATTATTTTCTTTGCTAACACATTCATATCTTAAAAATAATCTTAGCAACGACTTGAATTCAAAAAACAAAGTATTTGGGTAGTAAACCGAACCATTAACAATCTTCTTAACGTAACATTTATAAATTGCATATTGCGCATAATTTAAAATAATATTCAGAAGTGAATATTTCTTGTTTCCAATATCCGTTCCTACAACTTTTATCTTCTGGTCTATTTGTATTTCTATTTGGAATAGATTAAATATCAAATTACATATTATTTTCCAAAACATAGTCACATCCTTGCAATATAACATAAAATGAAAAGTTGAGTCAACTTGTCCACAAGAGTTGCATAAATTATTATTAACAATTTGCCATTTATATAAGTTTTCTTTGAGGCAATAAACCTATGAATCATCTTGAAATTAAGTTGTTTAACTTTATTATTACGAATTTGCTTTAATTTAAATAAAAATACATCGTTCCAAAAAAAGTCATTATCCAAATCTAAAAAGAAATTCCAAAAGTAAATGATATTTGGTTCTTTTGACTTATTACGTAATAACAAACGATAGTAGCCTTTCACTTTCATAACAAAAACATTCACTTTATCCCCTGTTTCTATTTCTATCATATTCGAAATATTACATTCTTGTTCAAATTCATAACTTAATCTATCCAACCAACACTGTGGAAATGCTTTCTTTAATTTTGTATATCTAAAATCAAATAAGAGCTGTTGGGCTTTCACTTTTGTATTTAGTATTGTAGAATCATTCCAAATACCATTTGTAATCAAATTATGAATTTTCATTAAAACCGGCCTCTTGCCATTCTCGATAAAACAGTATTTTGTTTTGAAAGGTAATGTTACTATTTTTCCAAATAATTTCATTTGGAATATTTCTTAGTTTAAACATATCAATGAATTTTAGTTCTGACCAAGTACAAAAGAGATCTACATAGAATTCTGGCAAATTATGTTTAGAGAATAATAAAGTAATATCCTTTATGTTACAATTGAAATGTAAACATAGTGGCAAACCCCCTATTTTGTCGGACCAGTATTTAAACATATTTTCCCAATAAGAGCCATTATCATAAAAAAAAACCCGAGATATCCATGCCAAACGAAGTGAAGATATTTTACTAGCAATATCAATCATATTCAATCCACCATTTTCAATATCAATTATAATTACATTACGTTAAATTTTATATTTTTGGCGTTCCATAAGAAACGAAATAATAGTCTGTTCAATGTCTGTGAAACATGTTTTGGTACTGGTACAACAGTTGCGGTATATACAATTTGTGACGCCGCTAACATTTTCAAAACAATTATTCTGCCATAAAACGTAAGATCCGGCTCATTTTCCACACATTTAATAGTTGTTATGTATATGAAAACGTATCTGTTCATTGTCTGTGCCATTTCTCTCCAAGATTTATTTCAATCTTTTGTCATTCTTTTCCTCTTATTATTCTGCTTTCATACAAATGACAAGGGTCGGATTGCCCGTAATAGGGCCTACTCATACAGCATTCTATGTATAACGAATGCATAAGGCATACAAGGCATATACTTGATACTTGATGAGGTAATCCCTGAAGCAGCTTTTCCAAGCTATACTGGGATGGGATGCGTTGTGACAGCAGGTGAAGGTGCAGACAACAAAAGGGTGTACAATTGCTTTATACAGTAAAATAGTGACGTGCAAGTAAAAAAAAATCATGCTGCTATATGGTTTACAGCATTCTGGAACCTACAGGAGGTTCCAACCCTCTGATGACAGGGAGGGCGGTCATCTGGAAAGCAGCAACTGTTGGGGCAGTAACTGCAGTGAATGGTAGTTGATTCCAGATGCGAATGGTGCGGGGGTAAAATGAGTACTTATAGGAATCAATTGTTGCCTCAGGAACAGAGAGCTTGAGTGTGTGGTCTCTTCTGCTGATGTATGTAGCTTTGGTTATGAGGTGAGGAAGATACATGTATTTATCGAAAGCCCCACTTTAATTGGCAAGACATTTCCTTGTCTTTCGAGCCATGCCGATAAGGCAGGGGCACAGCAAAAACAAACAATACTCCCTTTCAATGAATGCACTGTTTGTTCCATTTTCCAAAATACATGTTAAGCAATTACCAACATTTCCTCCTTTAATACTTCCGTTTTGTAGAATGGAGAAAGCTATCTTCTTAAGGTCCACTATGTGCTTGTGATATTTCAACAACAAACAGCTAAACAACTAATAGTATGACAACAGACACATGAACCAGATAACGCCTATTCCCTCTCTCTTTATCTCTTTCTATCTCCCCTTCAGTTACTATATTCTTTCCCATCTCTCTTTACCATTCATTCTCTCTCTAAAAAAAGCATATCATGATCCACTTAAACAGAATGATGAAAGATTTTAAATTACACAATCTTCTCATTTATCCATATCCAACATCAAATAAAACAATAACCCATTTTTTTTTACACAAATGTGTTCACACAAAAGTGACATATATTTATTATCCTTCAATCCTTTCCCTTCTTCATATTCATCATCTGTACGTTATAATTGCAGTTGAATAAAGTAGCTTTAATAATCAGAAAACAAGATGCGACTCATTCAAATACTTGTAAACTGAAGGTTAACATATCAAATGACATAATACAAGAGACTACAGGAAGATAAAGCTCACATTTCCCTACAAACAGTCATTTATTGATAAGAGTCTTTATTAAGTATCAAATAATAAGTTTCTCCCTCTCTTGAAAGGACCAGGATTTTTCAACTTTTAACAATATTTGCCCATCTTTTTATTGTCATTGCCCACTTTGCTTCTTGAATTGAATCAGAATAGTCTCTTCTTTCCCCTCACGTTTCAGAAATTCCCAACAAATACATCAAATGCATTGGTTTTGAAAGCTTACCAACTCTTCAACTCTTGTCGATAGTTATCAGTACCAAATGTCATGAAACTTGACTATGGAGCTGAAACTCAAAATAAATTTATTGAAAGATATATGTGCTGCACATTACCTGTTTAGAACCAGAAGAGTTTTAAAGCTTATCAACACTAGTGTGGCTAGGAGGGATTAGACCACACAGCAAGGTCACTAACAGGTGGCTATCTCATCGACTCAGCTCTCAAATAACATAAGAAATAGAGGATCATGGGGGACCAACAGGCACCGATGGGGGAAGTTTTCTATATAGAGGGAGCAAGTAGCTACAAGTAGGACAGTGGGGCTTTAACCCTACGTTAACTGGGGGGGGGGGGGTCAATTTGACCCCCCCCCCTGTAGAAATTTCGCGACTAATCCGAAACCGCGGCAGATATAAAATTTTCCTCTCATAACTTTTTACTTTCGAGTGTTACGCATCTTTTAAAACAATTTTTTTGAAAATCGGACCTACGGTTACAAGGTCGCGTGACCTTTTGTCTTTGTATGTCAGCCCGAAAATCGCTCATTTTCGTGATTTGTGTACAAAACATATGTAAAAGTCATTTTTCCTAAAAATAGATAAAACATTGGTTATTCAGTCTTGTTTAAAGTTTAGATGTTTGTTTTGGGGTCAAAATAGTTGAATTGTAGTTATAAATGAAATAAAACAACAAAAACAATAAAATACATAAGTTAAAAAAACAATAAAATACATAAGAAATTATAAAAACAAGAGATAACATAAGGAATAACCTGGCTCTTCCAATTTTTTGTGTTGTATTATTATTCCAAATGGTCTAATAAATATATGTAGTGAAAAAGAATACTTAAATATGAATAATCGATGATTTATGGGCCGAAATGTGAATTTTATGACCTTATTTGCATAAATTACCATAAATATGCAAATGAGTGAATTTTTCAAAAATTTGAAATTACCATAGTATTCTATACACTTCACTTGACATGCATGCAAATTTTCGCGGCGATCGGCGGTGAAACGGCCGAGATCTTAGGGGGGGGGGGTCAAATTGACCCCCCCCCCCCAGTAAAAACCTGGTCTGAAATAGCCCAGTTAAAATAGGGTTAACTCCCTTAAAATATATATAAGTCACTACCCTTCTGGCTCCAAACGTACAATATCATTCACAATGCACCATATCAGTAACACTCAAGAGCTTTAGAAATACATGTACATTTGTGTTCCAATAAGTTCTAGAATTGAATGACAAATCATGAACATTAAAATGACAATAAGATGTGCACTGTTTGATTCTCAGTGACGGAAATAGCGAATTGGCTCATGCTTTCTGACTTGTGGATTTCATCTCAATCACTTTCCATCTTGTACTTTCATGTGTATCCAGGCAGTAGGCTCGGCTTGAATGTTCCCTTTTTCAGGCTTTTTCTTGTTACCTTCAATACATGTCCAGTATGTGACAAGTACAAATAATAACAATTTCTGGACATGTGCAAGTATTTTTATTCAATAATTCGTAAAGAGCCATCAGTTTTTCATTCAGATACATTTTGTGAATTCTTATTCTCAGAAATCAACATAAGAGCTCATTTCTGATGATCAGCAGATGAAAATAAATCCTTATCCCCCCCAAAAAAAAAAACAAAAAACAACAACAACTCTGTAACAAACTGGTAGGACGAGCAAATAACATAGACCTTTTCAATTCGCACATGCATATACATGATTTCTCTCTAAAAACATGTTCGGCGAATCGTACCTTAATATGATATGCTGTAATTTTGTTGTTTTTAAAATTTACAGTGAATTGAAATACATGTACATGTACAGGTCTGCATGGAAAAAAAAGTCTGGCATATGTACCCATAGTACCACTGCTTTCAAAATGTATGGAGAGGAGAGGGAAGAAATAGAAGGAAGGATTTGGGGGAAGAATTAAAGAATAACAGTCAACAAAATTGCAAAGGATTCAGGTTACACTTTATGATACCTATTTCTGATATGCACCTTGAAGAAATACATCTTCATATGACATTTAAGCCTAAGTTTTGTCATGATACTCAAGAAGCTGTGTTTATAAACATGCCAAACCATTGGCAAGTCTCTAAGATTCTAAAATAAGCTCCATGTTACTGCAGTGAACAACTACAATACATGTGTATGTGGGTTTTTTCTTCAGGAATACACACTATACATTAAATTCATGAATGCAATTTTGTCTTCTCTGTACAGTAAAATGTTAAAGGACTTGTTACTTTTGGAAAAAAAGAAGATAACAATATCATGTAGGGTTGAATTTTGATAGTTTTGAAAAAGGGGACTGGAATATATAAATAGATGTTGTCTTCTTTTTTCCTGTTTCCTGCAGTCACAAATCAACCATGATTATGTACATTCAGCTATACAGTGTGTCCTATTTCCCTCCAAAGACTCCGCCCACTTCATCGTCTTCTCGTACTCCCATGCTCTGTAGAGGGCAGAAGAGACAAGGACATCAGACATTAATGGAAATGAAAATGGATGAGATAATTATAGCATGGTAATTTTGAGGAATGTAAAATATTGACCCTCTCATCAGTGTGGAGGCTAAGCCTTACGGTCAACCTCTAAAATGTAACTTGTTTATGAAAGACTCCATGGTTTCTCTGATTTGTGGAAATGCTTGTACGTGAAAAATTACAAGATATACAAGTGGAGTAAAAGACAAGAATGACCAGACAAATAGCCCCCAGGAGTATTATCGTTCAACTGTACCAGGGCTCGAATTTAGCGGTGGCCCGGTGCCAATGGCCACCTGAAACGCTGTCGGGCCACCTGAAATCACCGACTAGATGGCCCGGCTGGCCACCCAAATATTTGGACAGTAATATATAAATTATTTATCAACAACTTGTTTAACCTTTAGATCTACCCGAAACCGAGGCGACATCTATTTTTCCAAGCTTTTCCAAGCGACGCAATCCGATCTATCAAACAAGGAAATGTTTCGTTTCGCATACTAACTTTATAAAAACGATGCACGCCGTCGCGTACTGTACACACCGCCGCCGCCACCCCGGCCTGGCCGGTACATAGGCGTAGCGCTATCATAGTATGCTACCGCGTATAGGGCAGCTGTCGATATCCGCATTGCAGCACAGCTAGTACGCTTCTCAACTCTTTGTTGCGCAGTTACAAACTGCGCATGAGATTTCGGGCGGGTAAGTTAGGGTTTCCCAAATCCCAGCATTGTGATTGGTGTACTGACACTAAAAATCGTGTGCATGCAGCGGCGGGAGTTAGACTAAGTTGCTGTTCTAATAATGCGACGGAAAAGACAGTTACTGCTTTCAAAACAATAAAATAATCAATGGAATTAAATTAAGATGCTTTAACCCTATTTAGCCCGGGGGGGGGGGCTTGAGAAGCCCCCCCCTCGACATTTTTCGCGATAATTTTTTAACGCAAGAAAATCTTGCACTGAAATTTTGTGACTTTTTTCTTTCGAGTCTTGCGCAACTTTTGAAAGAAATTTTTTGAAAATCGGACCTACCATTACAAAGTCACGTGTCCTTTTGTCTTCGCATGTCAGCCCGAAAATCGCTCATTTTTGTGATTTGTGTACAAAACATATGGAAATCTCATTTTTCAAATAAAGAGGTAAAACATTGGTTATTTGGTCTTGTTTAGATTTTAGGCGTTTATTTTGGGGTCAAAATAGTTGAATTATAGTTGGAAATGAAATAAAACAACAAAAACAATAAAATACATAAGTTAAAAAAACAAAGAAATACATAAGAAATTATCAAAACAATAGATAACATAAGGAATAACCCTGGTTTTTCAAATTTTTGTGTTGTATTATTATTCCAAATGGTCTAACAAATATATGTAGTGAGAAAGAATGCTTAAATATGAATAATGTCTGATTTATGGGCAAAAATGTGAATTTAATGACCTTATTTGCATAAATTACCATAAATATGCAATTGAGTGAATTTTTCAAAAAAATTGAAATTACCATAGTATTCTATACACTTCACTTGACATGTATGCAAATTTTCACGGCGATCGGGCGTTTCACGGCCGAGATCACAGGGGGGGGGGGGGCCTGAGAAGCCCCCCCCCTGGGCTATGCAGTTTCAAAATAGCCCGGGCTAAATAGGGTTAAAAAATAAATGGATATCGTTTCAGTTGACGGTAGGTGTTTTTATCGCTCTAAAATTGAGGCTGCAAGAAAGGAATCACGCTTCGTGGTACCGATCGGGTGCGTTCAGAAACGGAAGTGGAAATAGATCTATGACCCACTGAAGACATAGCAAGAAAATGCCAAACACAAGACTAAAATGTTGATCAGACTATTGCAATTAAATCGTAATACTAAAGGCATTAATTTAATTGTCAAAATATATCCACAACATAATGGTTTACCCTTGATAGTTTGATGAAGGAAAATAAATTAAAGCTCTTGAAAGAACATCGAAGTGCCTTTCGTTCGTTCTAAAAATGCGTGTATAACGGCAAGCAGAAGTTACGAGTCAAGCTTGATATGCACGTTTACATCCCTACACCGTCATCCGACCTGATCGGAAAAATAAGCATTAAACCAATTAAAAAACATCACGTAAGACTTTAAGGGACTCCAATTCAACAAAATTACCGTAAAATAATTATTTGCTTTGACAAATAATACTATAGATATTCATAATATCTTACAGAAATAATGATATTTCATGAGCTACGTACTCGATATCGAGTTCAGCTAGCCATCATTTTGAAATGAGACGTAGTTGTCATGCAGTAGACTGTAGAGGGCAGTATGCAGAAGAGTGAGGAAAAAGCGCGGGCCTGAGATCACGTGATATTCACGTGACTATTACGTGATTTTTTTTTTCCCTCTCTAGCTAGCTGCGAGCTGCCGCATTCTGCGCTGCATACATGCATGACAACTACGTCTCATTTCAAAATGATGGCTAGCTGAACTCGATATCGAGTACGTAGCTCATGAAATATCATTATTTCTGTAAGATATTATGAATATCTATAGTATTATTTGTCAAAGCAAATAATTATTTTACGGTAATTTTGTTGAATTGGAGTCCCTTAAAGTCTTACGTGATGTTTTTTAATTGGTTTAATGCTTATTGTGCCGATCAGGTCGGATGACGGTGTAGGGATGTAAACGTGCATATCAAGCTTGACTCGTAACTTCTGCTTGCCGTTATACACGCATTTTTTAGAACGAACGAAAGGCACTTCGATGTTATTTCAAGAGCTCTAATTTATTTTCCTTCATCAAACTATCAAGGGTAAACCATTATGTTGTGGATATATTTTGACAATTAAATTAATGCCTTTAGTATTACGATTTAATTACAATAGTCTGATCAATATTAGTCATGTGTTTGGCATTTTCTTGCTCTGTCTTCAGTGGGTCATAGATCTATTTCCACTTCCGTTTCTGAACGCACTCGATCGTTACCACGAAGCGTGATTCCTTTCTTGCAGCCTCAATTTTAGAGCGATAAAAACACCTACCGTCAACTGAAACAATATCCATTTATTTCTAAAGCATATTTATTTGATTATATTGAAATATAAGTTTGTGAATTCCATATTTTTAATTCTATATTTCAAAATATCAGTGTGAAATTTAATTTTGAAAAACCTGAAACCCGAAAACAAAAACCGGGTTTCAGCTCGACGGTCGGGGCCCGGGCGGGGATCCGTTTCGACTCAGGCCTAAAGTAAATACACAATCAATTTTATATCTTCCAACAGAACTTGGAGCTCAAAGAAAAGCAGAAGTTTGGCGCCTTGTGTGCCCTGTACAATCCTAACTTAAGGGGGAGGGGGTCCTTGTGATGCATGATAGTCAAGGAGAAAGGGAGAAAAACATTGAAGTGAAGTTGAGACAGAAGTATAGAAACAAAGAGAGAGGATTTGGAATGAGAGTCTAAAGAGTCACTCACCTTTCATTATTAAATGCAGCTCATGCTGCTTTTAACACGTATAATTTATGCATTTTTTTTATTAAACATTTGCATTATTTAATAACGCATAAAAGTGGGGCCACCTGAAAATCCATTTGGCCACCCAGATCTCCTACCCAAGTGGCCCTGCTGGCCACCTCAAAAAAAAGTTAAGGGCAAGCCCTGTGTACCCTTTCAAGGATGGGCTATATCCCACTATCATACAGCCCATTAGACCGGCTCATCTTCCCTCTGAGAGTTGTCAGACGATTCACAAGACTGACACCCTATGAGACCACCCGCTCACCAGACCAACATCTTGCCAGCTGTCAGTCTCCTGGCCTTTTGGCTTACTAGGGTATCCCAACTGGGATCAGGAGTGCTTTGCCTATGGCCAGCAGCAACATCATCTTTCCTGTAGTCTATCCTTTCATTCATTTTTGAAAGATTCTGTTGTATTTTCCTCTGAGTAACCTTCTATTTTGTTGTTGTTGGTAGTGGAACTGAGTGTTGAATAATAAACACTCATACGTGTATGGGGGCAAGTCCAATGTATTTTGTTTTTATTTTGCTGACAATAGCACATGTTTTAGTATTTGTATTTTTAATGACTTTGTAATACTATTGTATTTTGTGCAGTATCCTTGTGTTAATACTTATGTAAAATTGCACTCAATTCAGCCGAAAGGCTGCCATGTACAATGTTTTTTATACCTATTTTTTTAAATAAATAAATAAATAAATTCTTGCATCATTGACAGCCCTGCCATTGCTTGGATCAGAGGAAAAAGATATCCAGGATACATGGTAACTTATGCGACACAAGAAGACAAACGTCCTTGGACTTCTCCTTAAAGAAATAGTTGTTTCATGTCTCACCTTTTGAACATATTGTGGATTAACAGCTATCTCTTGATCCATGCTCTCGAGCTTCTCATCTAGACTGATACAATGCTGCATCTGTTAGGAAAAATCGGTAATACAAAATAAAAACATGACAGAATATAATGCATTATCATGGACTTGGAAAACCACTTTACCTCAAACTCAACAATAACAGATAAAAAAGGGGAATTAATGTGAGTTTATATTGTGACAGTATTCAAAAGGAAAGTATACTGTTTTTCGTTTACTGATCTTTTTAACATTTATGATTTTTAGAGCTGTCTAGACACATAAATGAAATGTCTCGCAATTATGCTTTCTGATTCTTCACAAATGAAGTTCATTTTTACATTTTATAAAAAATGTACTTGAATCAACACTCTTCTTGAGCACTAATTATTATTAGAATTTCTTATAAGCCTTATCCTTGTAAAATAAATATAAAAATGCACAAATAATCTGCTTGTGCACCTTAAGTTCATCATGGGATATACCAAAGGCTTCAACATCATTTAACTGGTTCCAGTACACGTCTATACCCGTCTATACCCATGTTTAAAAGGGTTGCCATGGAGGTAATCAACACCCGAAATGGCTCTTTTTCTAAGCCATCAATATGCATATTGTTTTACACAAGTGCAAAATTGCACGTGTGACGTACCAGTGATGCACAAAATGCAAACATAGTGATACAAATCTGATGAAGGATATGTGTGGTGGGGAATATGAAATCTAAATGCCTTTACATGAGCATTTAACTGAGAACAACAATTCTAACCTCTTTCAATCTGTGAGAATAAGAACGCATCTATATTCTCATCAAAATTCCAATTTAAACACCTACAAATTCAATGTAAAAAATTAGAGGATTTGTTCTAAATTAAAAAGAAATTGCTCCACTTTAGGGCTATGGCTATAAAATGTTCCCTTCAGATAGGTGGAGAAAACTTGACTAACCTGTTGCTCGACATGTCTGAGTACTGCAGGATTGTCATATTTTTCTGGGTTGTCATGGAAGTGGACCATTCCATTCTGTTTGCTGATTGTTGCATGGATCTCACCATCTTCAATCTGAAATACATTAATCGAATTTGTTTATTACAATTCAAAGTACATACACATCTCTTCGTAGCACCATTAATTTCAACAAAAGAATGTACACTTCCAGTGTATTTTACACTTCAATCAAAATGACATTCGATCCCCATTATCAATTTAGACTAAAATTCAAATTTTTACTTTTATTATCTCATAGCCATTTCATCAGATGGTAATCTTTTGAAAGCCTTTCGTCAGGTACATGTACATCTTTATCTATCTTCAATTGGATCTCTAAACCAAGTTCCAATTCTAGAGTAATGCATATTGCAAGATACTCCATAACCACTCTACAAAACCTCTCAAAATGTTTTCAGTCATCAAAATAAATATGAGAAGACAAAATGAATGAAAAACTTAAAAGAATTTTATTGAGTTTTATTGAATATAGTTGAATAGTCTTGCAAATCAAATATTTTTTCCACGAGTGGTTAACTGATCAAATTATTTTAGAGGGGCAAATGTACCCTTATAGGCCCCATTATCATTTCATCACTTTGTACGCTTTTTCAATTTTTTCTTCAAATAAAACTTCGCTTTCTTACCATATTTCTGACGTACTGCTCAGCCTCTTGTGGTGCATGTAGATAAACTCTTCTTGCGATGTCACTCAGAGATAACGTTAGGAAGGTCTGAAGAGAAAGATCAATACTGACAATGAACATCCCCTACTGTACAACTCAATCTTCACATCTACTTCACTAGTATGTCGCCCTCTTGTGTGGCAATTCAACACATCCCCTTCTGTACAATAAGCCAGTTCACGGTTGCAGTCTAAGCATGAGCAGATAAAGGTCATTGCAGAACAAATTTTGAAATACACGGAGACGTAATACTGGATGCGTGCTTATGAAAGTTATGTAATCATTATTCATTTGTGCACAAGCAGTGCACTCCTTGATGAACAGGTGGAAGTATTCTTTAAAAAGGGGGAACAAAGGCTATTTATATAGCACCTCCATCACTGAGAGTGATTATTTCAAAATGAACAAAGTGGGACCTCTTCATGTTTTGAAGATCTGTGGATATTTGGGGTCATTGCAGTAATGTGCTAACCATAAACTGGTCTATTCAATCTTCACATCTACTTCACTAGTATGTCGCCCTCTTGTGTGGCAATTCAACACATACCCTTCTGTACAATTCAATCTTCACATCTACTTCACTAGTATGTCGCCCTCTTGTGTGGCAATTCAACACATCCCCTTCCGTACAATTCAATCTTCACATCTACTTCACTAGTATGTCGCCCTCTTGTGTGGCAAATCAACACATCCCCTTCTGTACAACTCATCCTCACATCTACTACACTATGTCGCCCTCTTGTGTGACAATGTTACTTAACTGCATTGCCTCCTTAAAGGGACTTGGTAACATTGTTCAGATGAGAGATAGTAGGGACTTTCAGATTCGCACAAAGACAATAGGGATTGCTACTGTCGATGTCCTTTTAATGCACTGCCTTGAATGGACGTCACACGTATCAGTCCACGCAAATCTAAAAGTCCCAATGCTAGATGTACAATTAAAGATAATCTGAAAATTTGAGTGAAAACGGACCATTATTCATGGTACAAATTGAGAAAAACTGATCTGATCGATTCCTTAATTCTCCCAACTATATTATCAGGTGGGCTGTATCTAATACAGACCACCTTATATTTTGGTTAAAATTGCCTTTATTATTTATTTATTTATCAGGTGGGCTGTATCTAATACAGACCACCTTATATTTTTGTTAAAATCGCCTTTATTATTTATTATTCATTATCAGGTGGGCTGTATATCGTACAGACCACCTTATAATTTCGTTAGAATTGCCTTTATTTATTTATTATATATTTTCTTATTTCTAACCACTTTTTTGTTGGCAAGATAACTTGGAAATGGCTCAATCAAATGCCTTGAAATTTGGCACACATATGTATAAGCATATGTACAAAGCACAATAACGTTTTCAACATTGACCTTCACTGATGACGTCATGTAGGCGCCATTTTGTAAAATTTTGCGAAAATCAACTCACGATCATATCTTCATAACCAAAAGCTATTTCTCATTCATATTTACCACGATCAAGGTCAATATCCGTCCGGTCAATTTCAGGTCAAATAACGCGCGCGTGCGCGTACGTCCGCGCGTCAATGCGCGCGCAAAATTTTGAAAAGCTCAAAATCGTCTCAAAATCATTTAGCATACGTTTTAAGCCATTTTAAGCATTTTATAAAAAATCGCGCACACGCGCGCGTTTTCACGCGTTAAACTATTGCACAAAATAGAATTCCTTTTTTTTTCTTTCATAATATTCCACATATATTTACAAACAAATTGATACCACGTTTGTCTCTTTATGACTGTTAATAACGGATTGATCGACCGTTTAACAAACATTTCCGTGCGCGCGAGCTCTTGTAATATATAGCATATATGGGCAAAAACATGCCTATACAAAATCCATTGGTGACCCCAATTTTTTTTCATATTTTAATAGAGTATGATTCAGAGATATTGTTTCATGTCTCATTTGACTCTCAATTAACTCATGACGTCATCATAATGGCCTCCGAACTCAAAATTACAATTTGCATATTATGACGTCAGCATATTTATGGAAAATTGATTGTATCTCTGTAAATATTGATCGATTTTCTTCCAAATTCTGATATGTTCTAGCTGAGACAATTTTCTACAAATTCAGTTGCTATTATAATACATTTTGACAAAGGCATCATGGCGTATTTTTGCGGTTAAAGGAGGCATGTCAATTTTTTACATTTTGCGTGTATTCTCTATGGGACATGACTTTTTCTCAAAACTCGATTCTACATTCCCATCTTTCGCGAGCAATATCTACGTCGTTTTAGCTTCGTTTACGCTGAACTTCGAGTATGTTGTAGATGAGACAAAAAGCTATCTCAAATGTACCCTTTATTTTGTCTCAATTTTTTGTTGGATCAGCCCACCTATACTTGTGCTAAACAAGTATTACAAATCTAGTCAGGTGGGCTGTATCTAATTCAGACCACCTTATATTTTTGTTAAAATTGCCTTTATTATTTATCAGGTGGGCTGTATCTAATTCAGACCACCTTATATTTTTGTTAAAATTGCCTTTATTATTTATCAGGTGGGCTGTATCTAATACAGACCACCTTATATTTTTGTTAAAATTGCCTTTATTATTATTTATCAGGTGGGCTGTATAACGTACAGACCACCTTATAATTTCGTTAGAATTGCCTTTATTTATTTATTTATTTATTATTATCAGGTGGGCTGTATAACGTACAGACCACCTTATAATTCCGTTAGAATTGCCTTTATTTATTTATTATTTATATATTTTTCTTATTTCTAACCACTTTTTTGTTGGCAAGATAACTTGGAAATGGCTCAATCAAATAATTTGAAATTTGGCACACATATGTATAGGCATATGTACAAAGCACAATAACGTTTTCAACATTGACCTTCACTGATGACGTCATCTAGGCGCCATTTTGTAAAATTTTACGAAAATCAACTCCTGATCATATCTTCATAACCAAAAGGTATTTCTGATTCATATTTATCATGATCAGGGTCAATATCCGTCCGGTCAATTTCAGGTCAAATAACGCGCGCGTGCGCGTACGTTCGCGCGTCAATGCGGGCGCAAAATTTTGAAATGCTCAAAATCGTCTCAAAATCATTTTGCATACGTTTTAGGCCATTCTAAGCATTTTTTTAAAAATCGCGCACACGCGCGCGTTTTCGCGCGTAAAACTATTAGACACCATAGAATCGCCATTTTTTTTCTTTCATAATATTCCACATATTCTTACAAACAAATTGATACCATGTTTGTCTCTTTATGACTATAAATAATTGAATAATCGACCGTTTAACATAAATTTCAATGCGCGCGAGCTCTTGTAATACATAGCATATATGGGTAAAAACATGCCTATGCAAAATCCATTATAGCTCTTTAGGATGCAAGGTGACCCCAATTTTTTTTTCATATTTTGAGCGAGTATGAATCAGAGATATGATTTCATGTCTCATTTGACCCTCAATTAACTCATGACGTCATCATAATGGCCTCCGAACTCAAAATTTCAATTTGCCTATTATGACGTCAGCATTTTTTTGGAAAATTGATTGTATCTTTCTAAAAATTGATTAATTTTCTTTAAAATTTTGATATGTTCTAGCTGAGACAATTCTCTACAAATCCAGTTGTCACAATTTTTCATTTTGACAAAGGCATCATGGCGTATTTTTGCGATTAAAGGAGGCAAGCTAGTTTTTTCACATTTTGCGTGTATTCTCTATGGGACATGACTTTTTCTCAAAACTTGATTCTACATTCCCGTCTTTCGCGAGCAATATCTACATGTACGTCGTTTTAGCTTCATTTACGCTGAACTCCGAATATGTTGTAGCTGAGACAAAAAGCTATTTCAAATGTACCCTTTATTTTGTCTCAATTTTTTGTTGGATCAGCCCACCTATACTTGTTCCAAACAAGTATTACAAATCTAGTATATTTTTCTTATTTCTAACCACTTTTTTGTTGGCAAGATAACTTGGAAATGGCTCGATCAAATGCCTTGAAATTTGGCACACATATGTATAGGCATATGTACAAAGCACAATAACGTTTTCAACATTGACCTTCACTGATGACGTCATCTAGGCGCCATTTTGTAAAATTTTACGAAAATCAACTCATGATCATATCTTCATAACCAAAAGGTATTTCTCATTCATATTTATTATGATCAAGGTCAATATCCGTCCGGTCAATTTCAGGTCAAATAACGCGCGCGTGCGCGTACGTCCGCGCATAAATGCGCGCGCAAAATTTTAAAATGCTCAAAATCATTTTGCATACGTTTTAGGCCATTCTAAGCATTTTATAAAAAATTGCTCACACGCGCATGCGCGCGCGTTTTCGCGCGTAAAACTTTTACACAACATAGAATCGCCATTTTTTTTCTTTCATAATATTCCACATATTTTTACAAACAAATTGATACCATGTTTGTCTCTTAATGACTATTAATAACGGAATGATCGACCGTTTAACATAAATTTCAGTGCGCGCGAGCTCTTGTAATACATAGCATATATGGGCAAAAACATGCCTATACAAAATCCATTGTAGCTCTTTAGGCTGCAAGGTGACCCCAATTTTGTTTTCATATTTTGATAGAAAATAAATTGGAGATATGATTTCATGTTTCATTTGACCCTCAATTAACTCATGACGTCATCATAATGACCTCCTAACTTAAAATTTCAATTTGCATATTATGATGTCAGCATATTTTTTTTAAATTGACTGTATCTCTAAGAATATTGATCAATTTTCTTCCAAATTTTGATATGTTCTACCTGAGACAATGTTCTACAAATATGGCTGCCATAAATTTTCATTTTGACAAAGGCATCAGGACGTATTTGTGCGATTAAAGGAGGCATGTCAATTTTTCACTTTTTGCGTGTATTCTCTAAGGGACATGAGTTTTTCTCAAAACTGGATTCTACATTCCCGTCTTTCGCGAACAATATCTCTGTCGTTTTAGCTTTGTTTACGCTGAACTTCGAGTATGTTGTAGCTGAGACAATACGCTATCTCAAATGT